TTAAATGGCGACATGGCTGGTGTGTGAGTGTGTGTGTTGGGTAGGGGGGGTGTGGGGGGGTTATTTCCCCACAGATCTCATTAAAGGCTTCTAGTCCCCCTGCACTTGGCCTGCAGGAAAAGGCCAGAGGGGCAGAGATAGAGAGACCTAGAGACAGAGCAGGAGGAGAGAGAAAGAGGAGTGACTCCTATCTCTGCATAGATAAGTGACAGAGCTGTTACAGAAAGATGGAGAGAGAGGGAAGGAGGAGGGAGAATAAGATAGAGATAGGCAGGGGAAGATAAAGAGCAGCATGGACAGAGTGAGTGGGCGTATGTGAGTGGGAAAGTGTGATCACAGCGTTAGGAGGCAAGACAGAATTTTTCGTCTGCATAATGATAAAACAACGAGAGAAACAGAAGGCCTTAAAACCGCATTAACTGTAATGTGAAAATCATATGAAAGCTGTAAGTAATGTAAAAGATGTCACACTGAGTGCATTGATATGTGCACTTTTACTGTAGTTATGTTTGACCATGTCTACATTACATTCCTGTTTTTGTGATGCAAAACCCTTAAGATGCCTGGATGTACTAGCTGGAGTACATTGATAGAAATCTGCATGTTTAGGCATGTCAACACCTCATGCAGTGTTATAAAAGAAGACAAAGTCTGACTTTGTAACACAGAGCATGCATTTTATTGTTCTTCTCATTTACTATTGCTAATGATCAGATGGAGGGCCAAATCCAGCAGAGATGCAAATGCAGAAGAGTTCTGACAGTCAGAAACCAAACTGTGTTCTCTTCTGAAACATGCACCTGAGATATTAATGAGTCAAAGCCCACCTGCAGACAAACAGTCAGAAATCTGGATGCTGTTATAATTATGCAAACAAGGAAATAAATAACCGGAAAGAAGTGAATGTCAGTCCTGGCTGATCTTATTTTTTTTTCCTAAATGATGATACATCAGCAACAGGAAGTGCATTTACCCAAGCACTCTACCCAAGCACTTGTGCTTCACTCAGAAAGTATTTTTTGCTGCTTTATACTTCTGTGCAACCACATTTCAGAGGGCAAAATTCTACTTTGCAGTCCATTACATGAACTTCACAGCCAGTTGCTTTTCAGATTAATACAATATAATAAAACAAATATTTGATTCCTACACAAAATCATTGGCTCCTGATATTTTTGACTTGTGAGTTCTTCTCAGAAAGGCTGTGTGCACCGATGCTTTAGGATTGACAGTCTAGTAAGGTGTTTTATGATATCAGAACAGATATGAAGGACAATTTGCTGATAATACTTCTGTACTTAAGTGGGATTGGGAATGTGGCACTTTTACTTGTAATAGGATGTTTTGTCACAGTTTTTCTTCCACTACACTTGGTGTTATAGGTTCTTTGTGTAATTTGGACAAGCCACCATACAAGCATGCATAGATTTAAAGAAAACACACCTTTGCATTTATATCTTCCATTAAAAAATATATATACTGTCACTGAGACTGTACACACACATTTCTTTAACCACTAGGGGGGGCTTCAGACACTCAACTGCAAGTGCACAATTATTGAAGCATTTGTTGCAAGGCTGTCTGTGCTGTTAATAAAGCAGTGTACAGACTGTACTATTTCATTTCCAACAGTACAGAACTGTCTGCAATATAAGGAGAATCTGTGGAAAAACTGTGTGTTTACAGAACCAAGTTGCATTCGAGAACCTGATAAGGATGATGAATGTGTGATGAGCCCTAATTGGCTGGCCAGTTAGAAGCTTCAGGATCAATAACATTCCTGGAGGTATACAGATCAATAAGAAACATGGCTGCCTCAGTGAAATCACCAAGCCTCTAAAACACCTTAGACCAAAAGCAGAGTTATGACGAAAAACCTAATAATTATGTGTTTTGTAATATAATATTGTCATGGTTGACTGTGAGAATCTTGTTCCTGTATAATAACTGAATCCTTAACCTTCGTGCTCGCCTGCTGTGATAGAGATTCATTTGAGAATGTTTGCTTGCTTTCCTTTGATGGGACTGTAAGTGGAGTGTGAAGGCTGGTGTGTGCTTCTTTGTGTGTGTACGTGCGTGTGTGTGTGTGTGTGCGTTCGCGCGTGCTCGCATCTGTGTGTGAGAAACCTAATCTAATACTAACAGACACACCTCTTCATCCTCTTGCGCTCTCCCATACTTAAATCTTAGACATTCCCCTCCCTTTTACTCTGCTCTATTTCGCCACGCTGCTGTAACACACACACACTCACACACATACACACAAACACACACACCAAACACACATGCACATACACATATAAAACCCTTGCACACTGATGCACATGCTCGCACACCAGCACGCCCTCCCAGTACCCCATCTCCTAGGGAACACAGGGATGTCTCTATGGCAACAAGCAGCTTGCTCCACTAATGAACCGGTTGCCATGGTGACCGGGTTGGCTGTGCGCGAACGGAGACACTGAATAAAATAGAGGGAGAAAATGTTATGTTACTCCTCTGCACAAACCCCCGTGCAGGGCTTTATCTCTTTCTTTGTAGGACACACACACACACACAACCACACACACACACACACACACACACACACACACACACAAAACCACACAGACACGTTCAAACACACACAAACGTGTGAGTGTGAGGAGATTAAGATGAGTGACAAAGAATGAATGAATGTTCTGTGTTACAAGAAGTGTTGGCTAGAGACAAGAGCACATGCAGTAATGCAGTACGAGGCAGGGATTCCTGCAGCTGCTGGCTCTCTGCGTGGGCCAATCATCCTGCCGCTGCCTCAAGGTCAGAAAGCAACCCAACTCCACTCTGGACATGAAGAGGGAGAGATGTAGAGGGGGGAAGAGAGAGGTGGGAGGGGAACAGTGCCAAAAACCTTCTGTCAGCCATCTGTGTAGTGAGTTACGTTCCACTTTGCTGACTGAGCCTCTTAGCCGTTATGCGTTTGGCCATTCGCGACCCCACCAGAGACACTATGAGCTGCACCAAACTGACATTCGTATCCTGTGTGCTAACTGAGGCAACTGGGAATTCACTCACTTTACTCTGGCACTGTCTCCCCCTCCTGGCTCAGGGGGGGAAGAACCTCAGCATGCTGCAGTCAGTGGGAGTACCCACTGTCACATAGCTGTACTGGAGGACGACTATTCCAAGCTGGAGGCCAGGACCTCTCCAAAACACCCTAAGATATGTTTTTTAGATTCACAAAGTAATAGCAGAGGAAAAGGCACGTATTTAGACATTTATGCAATTAAAACAAAAACATAAAGTGAAAACTCTCATTTACAAAAGTATTCAGACCCTTAATTCATTAGTTTTGTAGAGGCCCTTTTAGCAGCCATTATAAGTTCAGGTCTTCTTGGATGAGTCTGTAGGATTTGCACACCTAGATCTGAGCAGTTCATTTCATTCTTCCAGGCAGATTATGTCAAAATTTGTCAGACTGGATGGCAAATGTCTATCAACTGCCATATTCAGGTGTTGACTTTAAGTCTCAGCTTTGGCTGGACCATTCAAGGACAGTCAAAGACTTGTCCTGAAGCCCTCTAGTTTATGCTTGGCTGTACACCTAGGCTAACTATCATGCTGAGAGATGAAGCGTTGCCACAGTCTCTGGCCTGTGGAGCAGGTTTTCTTCAAGGACCTCTGTGCATGAGGCTGCATTCGTCCTTCTTTCAGTTCTGACTAGTCTCCCTGTTCTTGCTGTTTGAGAAGCACCCTCATACCATAATGCTGCTACCACCATGCCTCGCTATAGGGAGGAAGTCAGCAGGTAATGATCAGTGTCTGGTGTTCAGCAGGCATAGTGCTTGGAGTTCTGTTCAGTTCAGATTTTGTCCCATCAAACTCGATAAGCTTTTTCCTCATGCTCTTCATGAGCTTCATCAGCTTGAGTCTGGCAGGCTCCAAACAGACTGCCTTCTGTCTAGCTGCTCCACAATAAAGGCCTGATTGATGAATTGCAGCTGAGATAGATTGTCATTCATCCAGCAGGTCCTCCATCTCTGCAGAAGACATCTGGACTCTTGGTGACCTCCATGACGAAGGGCCTTCTTGCTCCATTACTCAGTTTAACTCTAAAAAGAGTCCTGATTCCAAACTTATACCGTTTCACAATTATTGCTTTATTTATTTAGATTATTTATTTGTCTATCAGATGGTGACAGTGGAGTGAGATAAGAATGCCCAACCCAGAGACTTACTGCTTAAGTGCATATTGGGTCACTCCGCCATTTTACTATTATTGGGGCCACTGCGCTCTTAAGAACACTCAAGGCTTTTGAAAAAGGTTTTATGCCCTTGCCCTGATTCCTGCTTCACCCCAGTTTTATCCTGAAGGTCTACAGAGAGTTGGACGTCATGGCTGTTTCTTGTCCTGACATGCTGTGTGGATTGTGGGGTCTTATATTCACAGTTGTGGAGCCTTCGAAACTCTAATTCATTCACGTTGTCACTGGTGGACTCCAGTCAGGTTCTAGATACATCTCAAGGATTATTAAAGGAAACAGGACCACAGTTTGGAGCTACAGCAAAAGGTTGGAATATACCTGCTTACAGGTGGCTTCTCAGAATTTTTGCATAATTAAAAAAAAGACTCCTTTAAGCCATTTTGTCTTTTAGATTAGCTAAAAATGACAATGGTTTTCATTATGGCTCCATGTGTCTCCAATAATGTAGACATCTCACAGTGGTTAACATGGTAAGGTATAGACCTTACAAACTTAAACAGAGAACCCAACAATCCAAAGTTGCCTTTGGACTCCCTCTGAGCAAGTGAAATATGTGTCTTTTGAAAATGTGGCTTTTGTACATCTTTCTTCTTAACCACTGCTTACTGTAGGCTCTCAATTTATTTATTAATATCTTGTAAACCACAGCTGTTTTTAAAATGCTTCATCCTTGAGATTTAAGGTGATTTTTATTCCTTGACTATATTACTTTCTCGCTTGAACAGTGAGTTATATGTGCTTCTGTATCTCTTGCAGAAATGTTTGCGGTTTAATCCAGATGCCACAGTGTGGAAGGCCAAGCAGCAGGTGCTTTGCTCCCTGACCGAATCTCTGCGAGATGTACTCAACTATGGTCTGTTCCAGCCCGCCACAGACGGCCATGATGCCAAGTTCCTGGAGGAGGAGAGGCTGCTCAGAGAGTACCCACAGTCCTTTGAGAAGGGGGTACCGTATTTGGAGGTACTATTTCAGTCTTGTATTGACACAGTTGCAACAAACACTTCTACTGTACTGCAAAGCATGTGATGTTGCCTGAATGTCCTCAAGATGTCACTGTGCAACAAAAACAGATTTTAATGTGGTTCCTTCTAAACAAATTTAAATAATTCTGCAGTATGTTTAAGAAACTGTCCTAAAAGTTGAATTTTGTTGTTTGAATCAGCTTCAATCATCAACCACTTGCTAAGCTGCAAACATGATGAACTGAAGAGGCACTAATGTATTTTACAAACAGACAAATCCCAACAAAGATGCTAATTTTTACAGCCTGGAGATCTATTCAGTAGATTATGATTGCCTTTTGCCTCATATTTTATGTCCAACATTTTGCACTCAGATCCAAATAGACAGCTGCACAGACTACATCTACTGTAGCTGCCCCTTGAGTTATGTAAGTTAGGTTATATAAATCCCTGGTTTATGAATGGAGTCTCAGACACACTTCTTAGGAGCATCACAGAACTATTTCATTTCCCTGATCTGTTTAGTGCTACACTTGCTAATCTCTTATCCAGCCTTTACAGTCACCTTCTTTTCATGCTACATTACTATCCAGTGGAGGCTCTAAACCGTTTTTAAACTGCTGTAAAGCCAGACCGTTTCTTTCACATGTCTTGTCTTCAGTGAAGTAGAGAAGGAAGCTTGTATAGCAAACCAGATAAAGCTACTCTGACAATAAATCTGCAGGCTCCATTTTGTGGATCTAGGCCAAAAGCTGAGAGAATTGAGGACAAAGGCCCTATGTGTTAGGATTACCTCTTCGTTTCCTTTTCTCTTTTTCTGTCTCGGGTTTAGTTTCGTTATAAGACCAGGGTGTACAAACAGACCAATCTGGATGAGAAGCAACTGGCCAAACTGCACACTAAGGTATGAAACCCATCTTCCTTATCTCTAGCATAAGATGTGTGTCATATAAATGTACTGCTACAGTCCCAGCGAGTGAGAATCACTATTGTAGCTATATTATGAATGTCAGTGTATCCATTTGTGCATGGTCATGTGTGCACATTAAACAAAATGCTAATCCAAAATTCACTTATCCCATTTGTACCTCCAGAAAGTTATACAAACACACTTTTTGGTTTCTCTACAATTCATGAACCCGCATTACTGCTACACTATATTGCTCTTCTTTTCCCTAATTCTTGTAGTTCTGTGTCTGTGATGCTCTGACCCATCTTATACTCTTCTTTGGACGTGCAGGCCAGCTTGAAGAAGTTCATGGATTACATTCAAACCAGCGCTGTGGACAAGATGGCCAAGTTCTTAGACAAGGGCCTTGATCCCAACTACCAGGACACCGACACTGGCGGTAAGGAGTGCTGCAGAGCTTGGCGAACTGTCATCCTGCCTCTGTCATTTAGCACTTACCTCATTTCCAGTCACCTAATCTACACGATCATTTCTTTTCTTCAAACAGCATTAACAGGCTATGCTTGTATTGCAAAACAAAATCAACACATTTATTAGTTTATTAATAAAGGTGAAAGGATTAGCAGTCGTCCCTCATAGACATTCACAACGCAGCACCAAACATACACTATAAATGTGTATTTGTGTTTCAGCATCCCCAAGCAGCGAAATTAGCACACTGGTGGCCAGCAGCTATGTGACCTGAGGCTATGCTTTTTAAACTCAACCTTTAAACTGTCTGCAAGCAACAAACCTCCCCCTATGTCTTCTGCCCTCAGCTCTGTGGTATGTTGGCCTAACACTGTGAAGGATCTGAGCCAATGCTGTTCACAATTTGGTGGCTTTTCTCAGGTCCTGTTGGTACTTAAGGGGCGCAGCAGACGGCTCATTTACAGTTTGGGTGTGCTGCTCGGTGTCGCTCCAGCCGTTCTAGGAGCAAGTGTCAAAACAGAAAACGCAGCCTGTCATCATGGGTGTGAAACATGCTCCCACTGCAGAACACATGAGGGCAACAGAGAGCCCTGATGAACCCTTCGCAAACATGCCATATTCATATATATCCTTTGGGAAGGAAAGCACATTCAAGCCATACGTCTAAAAATAATATTTCAGGTGGCTAATACTACATGGTGCATCACAGTTTGATATTGGATCCTTTCTTCTGAAATTGTTTACTAAAGTACAGAAAATTACTCAAATAAGGAGAATAAGATAAATGAATTTCACAAGATTTGTCATTTTGTTAAGAAAACCTTCCATTAACCTCTTAACATTTCCCAGCCACTACTTTCATTGGCATTGGTCATTCTGAATCGTCATCTCAAAGCACAAAACCTCATGAGTCAACTGATTTTAAGATCCAAATACCACAGTGTTAGTAGTAGCAGTTTTTTATCTTCTAATAAATTCCCGGCAAAATGGTAATTTCTTACCTTCTCTGTCATCCATATGAGCACATTCCTGGACAGTAGTTTTACTGTAGGAATCCAGCAGGCAAAATATTTTTGAGCTTGGAGCCAGTTTTAGTTTAAAAAAAACAAAAAACAAAAAACTGCTGGATGTTAAGGGGTTAACAGAGCAGTCGGTGTGTTAGAAAAGGTGTTTAATATCAACCAACATCTACAGAAAATGTCAACCATGGCATCCTTGTGACTTGCAATGGTTTGCTCTTCTTTCTCTTGTCAAGGTGTTCTGACAGTAGGTCCATGAACAATGAATGCAGCGTTCGGTCTGTGCAAGCAGGGCAAAGAGGTGATCAAAACCTGGAGAAAAACATGGTGTTTTGTGTTCCTGGGACAGAGATATCCCTCCATTGTTAACACTTTTTACATTTGACCTGTCTGTCTCCCTGAAACTCTCTCTCCATGCTTTCCAGAAGCCTCACAGTGAGTTCCTTTAATAGGACATAAAATAATTCTGCCAGATTCAGACTGGCTCCTGTCAGTAGGGGCTCACTTCCATCTCTGCCAAGGGAACTGCTAAATGGGCATTCCCTAAGTCATCCTGACATGGTAGCTTCAGAGGAACTGCAGTCAAAACATTTCCCCAAATAATTTGTACCTGAGATTTACTGACGCTGTTCAAAGATAAAAGCCTGCAGTCCTTTTCCTCTTTGCCAAAAAAATCTCTTGTCACCATGGCAGCCAGTGCTCTGTACCCTGTTTTTACTGGGAACACTTTGAATGTTTTTATTCTTCTAGGTGCCATTGAATTTTCTTGCTGAAGTGGGTCGAGTGTGTGAAGAGTAGTGTGACACAGCATTGCTGTTATTTTAAATTAATTTTATAGCACTGCTTTGGTGCCTCATTTGATGTCTGTGTAACAGCAAAGTGTCAATGCATTGGCAGGAACAACAGTTTTAGAATTTCGTTGGAGGCCAACATTGCTGTAGGATGAAACCAATCTTTAAAGGTAAATCTCCAGAGTAGCTTTTATTTCCCCTGACACTTTAGCAGAAAAGAATATGAACAACTGCAACTTACTGTTAGCTCAAATGTCTCTGGATGTCCAGTGGAGTGACGAGGGAGAAAAGTGATGATCGTGAGATGTAGGATTGATGTGTGATCTATGGAGATGCTGTGTCTTGACATCTGAAACTGTAAAATAGGGAGCTTGGATTAGTGGCCCCTGGCTCACCATAGAGTTTTAGACCAATGATTAATTCGAAAGCCAACTGTTTTGACGATGGATTTATTAGTTTATTCATTTTTTAAAGAAAATAAAGTCACATTTATTTTTTTTTACCCCTCCATGACAGTTTACTGGGAATCACTGACTGGCATTTTTGCCGTTTTTCGAACAGTTTGCAGACCAAATGACTAACTCATCATTTGAGAAAATAATCCTCAGACTAATCAACAATTGAAAAAATTAACAGTTATTTTCCTATTGCAGACTTGGAGAAAACTTTGTACAAGCATTCATGGTTTCCAGCATGATGATGATAATGGTGATCTCCTGGCTTTTCGTCGTGTCCCACCGTGAAGTTTACACGTTTCTTTAGTCTTAATAACTGTCGGATACATAGCCATTAAAGTTGTTAGTTATTTATACTTCCCTTGGGACAAAATGATCATGTATTTGTTAATCCCCAACTCTACCTCGACTACCAACAGCTGATCAAACATGTAGTTTGTCCAATATGACTAATGTGTCGAGCATTTTGTATGAATTTTGCCACGTGAACATGCTAAACTAACACAGTGAATGAATAACTGCTTAACTTTTGCATGTTAGCTATTGTGCTCATGCCAGCATGGTGACTTTAGCATTTAGCTCGAGGTAGCACTGTGTAGAAATGTTTTTATACGTATGTCTCATTGCTGTTCACCAGTGAGACACACATTGCCACATACAATGTAGCAATGCAGCATGAAAGGCTGTGAAGAAGAAGACTTGATATTTTTTCACACATCTTATGCTGAAGAAACTACATTCACCACGTTTGTGAAACTTTACTCCTATTGTGTTTTGGTAAGATACACTGAATATAAACAACATGTTGATTTAAACTGCACCTAAGTTTTTACCTTTTTATCATTAACACATTATTTATAATAATTGGATCACAGATTTTTGTTTTTTCTTTAATTTATGCAACAAGAACAAGGGTTTAAGTTAAACAGTGCATTGTCATACCCCACATTTTTACAGTGTATGACAAGCTTTCTTGTTATAGACTGAAAAATCTTTTAATGTATTGCTTGAAATCAACAAAACAAGAACGTCTCTTTTTAAACCTAAAAGCATGATTTACCTGAAAGACAAACAGGTTCAACAGAGGTGATTGGGTTGTTATTTTTTGGTGGAGTTTAATTTGATTGTTCTTGGTCTAATTTGCAAGGAGAAAACTGCTGTTCTTTAGGACTCTGAATAATTTGATTTTGAGATGCCCGTCCCTCTGACTATTAAAAGCTCTATCTCTGTCTCTGTTTGTGTTCTTTAGAGACTCCTCTGTCCCTGGCAGTGCAATGTGAGCCAGGTGGAGGTGAGGCCATCCGGGTCCTGGTGGAGGGAGGGGCTCATATTGACTTCCGTGCCAAAGATGGACTCACACCGCTACACAAGGCTGTTCGAGGCCACCGCCATACAGCCCTGCTGGTAAGCATTCACACAGTGTTGTCCTTTTGTAGAAATGCTGCTATTCAGCTGTAAAATGTAATGAGTTTCCATTTCTTAGGCCATAAAAGGAGAAAATCCAACCTACACCAGAGTATTTGTCTGCAAGATGGATATTTGCCCTGAAATTGATACAGTATTATCCTCATTTGTGGTACTGTATAAGTAAACAAGCTGAAGACAGAATAAACAGACCCTCCCACTCAGCAATCCACACCCACCCACACACAAAATGCATGCAAACAAAAAGCTCTATTATTTTCTTCAGCGAGAGAAGAAAAAAAGACATTCACATTGCCTGTTTTCTTTTTTTTTTTTTTTAAGGCGTGTGGCATATTTACATTTTAGCTGTTTATCAAGGTTTTCAACTCCCAAATTGCCAAGAATACAGGTACCGGTTTGGGGAGAAACTCATTCAGAGGGAGATAATTGCATGTGTAGCATTGAGAAAGCCCATGTTTTCCACAAAGGAAAGAAAATCGGCTAAACTGCCTTAGAGTTTGCATCAGACTCTGATTGAATACATAATTTTCTCTAGCCTGAGGTGTTGCATGACCTCTCTGAACCCCTGGCTATGTCTTCCCATCTTGATTTAAATTCCATGAATATTCCTCGACTTGAAGTTGGAAAACCACCTTGAGATATTTTTTCTTCATGCTTTCTTATTGTTTTAGCTCATAAAAGTTTTAAAGCATCATTATTTCACTGCATAGTGTCTCAGACACCCTGACTGTTATCATTACTATCAGGGTTTCAGAATGGCCCATACGTGAGGTTTCAATTTCTGGCTCCTTCTGCAGGTCCTGCTCTCTCTGGGTGCGTCTCCAGACTACAAGGACCGAAGAGGGCTGACGCCACTTTACCACACTGTGCTGACAGGGGGCGACACCTCCTGCTGCGAAACACTGCTTTACCACCGCGCCAAGCTAGGCATCAGGGATGAGAACGGCTGGGATGAGACGCATCAGGTAAACGTGAATTTTTAAATGTGTGCTCAAGCCCTAAAGGGAATGTGGAATGAATTTTAAAGGGGGAGTTCCAGAGATTCTGAATAAAAAATAAGAAGATATTACAATATAATTAAAAGTAGTCTGCTAGAAATTGATGCAAATAATCTCCTATGTACTGAGTATACAGATAAACTGATTAAACTGAATCAACAGTAAAACTTTACAACAGCAAAACTTCCTAATGGGGTCAGTGGCCTAATTCAAGTCCTGCACCAGAAAACCACTTCAGGATGGTTGGGGTTTTAGTTTCTGTAGTTTGTGTTGCACAAGTGTGCATGCATCACTTCTTGTAATGTAGCAGTGTACTCTGTGTTCCAGTGTGTGTCCACGTCAAACCTTATTCACGCCATGAACCACCACACCTCTCACCCTTCATCCTACCCATCCTGCTTCTGTGGCCTCATGTAACATCTGTGAAGTGGACAGGCAAGGCCAACAGAAAAAATAAAGGTATCAGCCTGGTCATCTCTGTGATCATACTCACTACATCAGCATCTGTCTCTTCAGCTCTATTTGCCAGTCATGGACTCCATGATACACTGCCTCTTTTTGTTTGCATGCACGTGTACGTGTGTGTGTGCGTGCCCTGTACATGCGCCCTCCTGTAAGTGTGTGGATTTGACTGTTAGGTTCACCACTGTAGCTGAGATTTTTGGATTTGATCCACCAAAGACAGACATGTTTTGTATATTCTCATCTGCCATATTTGAAGGCTTCAGGGTTTGAATGTGTTTTTTGTTGTCATGGTGGCACCAAAGCCACAAATCCCCACTGAAACTCATATGAATTCAATTCTATTGTGTTTTGTACTGCATCTATGTGCTGAATGTTTTTTTTTTAGTTTTATACATAAAATATATTTATATAACTATATTTATGTTTATTAATTGGTTATTTATGTAAAAGTTGCATCCTACAACCTCCTAAAACCTAAATCGTTGATTTAAAAAAAAAAATAAGCTACATATTTTTTATAAAACAGGTACTGCTTTGTTTCAGAAAGACTGAGCAAATGCACAAGTCTTTCATAAACTTTTTTGTATCTGAATTTCAGCTAAGTTGCATATCGATTGTCTGAACTGTTAAATTAACATTATTTTAACTGATTTATTAAGTGTGAGCAAGTAACTTAAAATTTTAGTGACTTGATTTGATAATGGATCATTGATTATGGTGAGCAACAGGAATTCAGATACACTCAAGCATTATCTTTATTCTAATTTTTAAGTGTTTGCGCCTGTCTTCCTATAAGTACTGGGTGATATGGTGGTGGAAATTTCCTCCCTTGTATCCATTTTTTTTTTAAATATTTGAAGACTTTTAGTTCATTATCATGCTTGTCATGGTTCCTTACTACTAAGAATAATGTTGAAATCAGCATTTATTATTTAAACCAGTCATGTAGCATGAAATGGAAGTATCGTGGCTCTCCATGCAGCATAAGATTATTTGCCATATCATAATAACATTAAAACATATATACTGACAACAAAAAACGTAAGAAAAATATACTTTTTGATATGTAGCTATAATGCAGTTGTCTGTGTGTGCATAAAATGATGAGGCTTATTATTCTAGCTGCGATTATTGTTATTGTGGCATCTCACTTGTGTTTTCTCACTGTTCTCTCGCCCTCTGAGTTCGGAGGTGGTGTTAATTAAATCTGCTGTCACTTTATAACTGTCACCTTGTGCCTCTCTCTGTGTCACTGTCTCTTCTTTATCCTTGTTTGCATCTATGCCTTTCTCTTCTCTTTAATAAACAACCACATAAATCTTTCCCCTTTTACGTCTCTCACTTTTTTCTTTTTTCTTTTTAATTGGAAAATCCTTTACAACATTCTGCTGCTCTGTTTTTCACTGTTTTCACCTCTTCTCCTTGATCTGTTCATTCTCAGGCCTGTCAGAATGGTAACTCGCAGCATCTGGAGCACCTCCTCTTCTATGGGGCAGATTCTTCCTCCCAGAATGCCTCTGGAAACACTGCCTTGCACATCTGTGCTTTATACAACAAGGTATTTTACTGAGTAGACACCAAATGTCAGCTCCTTTAAAGGCTATTTAACTTCTGGTAAAACAAATGCGGTATACTGGTTTTTAAGTAAGACACTCACTTTTTAGTTGCAGTATTTGGAATCTTGAAACACCTTCTATCCTGAAATACTTTTATAAATATGTATGTACTTAGCAAAGAAGTTAACATACACAAAATTATCTGCATAATGTCACAAGAAGAGAGTACTGTACTGTCTAAAGCCAATGCATACTGTAAACAAACTACATGCATTTCTATGTGGAGCAGTAATTATACAATTATTGTCTCACATTAAATATACATTAATCAGTGCTGTTTTCTGCAGGAAAGCTGTGCACGAATTCTGCTCTACCGGGGAGCAAATAAAGACACAAAGAATAACAGTGGGCAGACCCCCTTTCAGGTAATGGCTGAGTGTCTGGCTGGGTAATTATGCATGTTGGGAGGCTGTATGGTTTAGTGTGTTATTAAGTTAACGTAGCAGAAAGTGCCAGGGCCTAATTTCACTTTAAACCATTATTGTGCTGCGATGCACACAGAGGTCCCAGGTGGCGGGGTTGCATGTGACCCCTTAATCTGGATACATTAACTCTATCTATGCAGAAAACGCCAGCTGAGACAATCTGTTGTTTTCTCCCTCAGACGCGTACTCACAAACAGCAGAGAAAACAGCATAGAGAAAGCTTTTAAATTTGTCGAATTGTGCGATGACCTGTGTAGTTTGACAAATAAGTAAAATTACAAAAAATCACATTGTGCAGAAGTGTGTACTAACAAGAGAGTAGAGAGACATAAAAAAAATGCCTGATTTTGTGCATCAAGGAAATTATCAATTTTTTAAATATTAATTATGATGTAAACACAAAATAAATCTTGTTTCCATCACTTGTAAAAATTTCCTATTTGACAACCTGCAAAATGAGGCATTTTTTGTATGTGATTGGACAGATTGAACAGCTACAGTGCTTAATATCAGCCATCAATACTACCTTGTATATGTGTGTGTTTGTTTTCATCAGGTGGCTGTTATGTCTGGCCATTTTGAGCTGGGTGAAATTATTAAGAACCATCGGGATACAGATGTGGGTGAGTGCTGTAGCTGATGGCTCACATGGCTTTGGAAATGTGTGATCTTCTGTAATGTGCGTTGACATTGCTAAAATTACACACAGGTTATCCATGTTGGTATTTCAAACTTTATTTAGTCAATAACGGTTGAAGGATGGATGAATTAAAAAGAAAGGGCAATAGAATATACACAGAAACATACTGTAGTAGCATGGCTAGAGATGTTTAGATAGAAAGTATAAAGAAACATGAGCCACAGTATGTAGGAAGATGTGGAAACTAGGAGCAGTGACAAAGAAAAAAAAAGATCAATGCTTCCTCTCTCCTGTCTCCCTTCACCTCCCAGTTCCCTTTGTGGAGTCTCCAAAGTACGCCCCCCAGAGGCGGGAGAGCTCCCGGACGCTCACAATACCCCATCCTCACCCCTTCCTCCGGGCCAACAGTGACAGCAGCATGAACCTGCCAGACTGGATGGCAGTGCCCAACGCCCCGAGCACCAACATCGTCTCTGTGCAGGTTTCTGTGTTTGTCTACGTGTGACAGAGTTCACAGTCTACATTGTTGACACTGGAAACAGTTCACAAGAAAGTCAGTGTAGCTGCTGCTTCAAAAGATTTGATTTGAGTCTGTGCCATTGAACTCTCGATGTTCAAACTTTGTCCTAGAAGACCTGATATCCATGTTGACCCACAGGAGGAGGATGATTATGGACATTGGAATCAGCATCTAACAAAACAATCGCTCCTCAAGGTTTATTTAAGAAGGCTTTGAAAGCATATTAGCTCATTTTTAGTGTGACTGCTGTAACACCACAACAATTTGCACAAAAGCAACGTTACATCAAAATTTAATTCATCAAAAACAAGGACTTTTCAGCGGAACTGTCCATGCTGTTGCTGCTGTGATGTGGAGCTTGGTGTTTTTCTGTCTAGGAGTGTGTTTGACCAGGAGCTTTGAAGTCCTTGAACAACTCTTAAAAGAGCTCGGCCAGAAAATTGGCTTTGAAGTTTAGATTTCTGTTGAGTTGCCTGTTTCATTCTACGTTTTGTTTGATTAATCCAATAGAAGAACAGCTATAGTTAGTTTCATCATTTCCTCTAAACCTGACAGCTTGGAGAAATGGTTAATGCCCAAATAATGAATATTTCCATTGCACAGGAGGAGCATTGAATGGCTTTGTTCCAACTATTCATGATAATACAATGAAACAGATGACCTTTATCAACCTCTAGTGGTGAACGTTACTAATTGCAGCACCTTATCTGTAGTCTTCCATGTATTTTAGTTCTTGTGTGCATTGGGGCAGAAAATAAATAAATCATCTTTCATTATCGTCTTCTTTAGGTTGATAGTTTATAAACATGAAAAATGTAATAAAATACATGATTGATAAGACGTTTATACATGCAATTTATTATGTTTATCATGTTGTTATTCCTGTTGATGTTTTAATATGTACACATGCTCTTAAAAGCACAGATAATAGGAATTAGGACTGCTTTCATTACTTATTATAAATGTTAATGCCAGAGAAAGTTAATTTGTCAGAACCACATAGGAGAAAATGGTTAACAATGAAAATTGAAGAGGACAAGAAATTTGTGTAGCTTGCGCGAATTTATTTGAAATAATACAGTATAGTTCAACAATTCATGAGGACACTATTATGTGTGTATATTTGTATATATGTACATATAGCTATATTTTCTCACCTCTTTCTCTCCCTCTCTCTCTGTCTTTCACAGGGCTATAAGCATACAGGAACCCTGCGGAGCTCCAGCAGTCCCAGAGGGGCGAGGACACGCTCCCCGTCCCGTGGGAGGATTGGAGATAAGGAGGACCGCAGCAGGCAGAGTCGAAGACAGGGGTGAGTGGAGAAGTCTGAGAACAAGGAGCTGCTGATCATGGATGTCTCCTTCCACCGTTTGGAATGCTGCATGTTCATATTGGTTGAGTACCCCTGAGTCTTTCAGCTGGGTGTGTACAAGTCCTAAAGGGGTCAGATTAGACGAGTTAGTTTCTCAAACAGCTGTAAAAGTCCTAAACATGTGTTTTTAGATGTCTACAAATGTATTGTGTGCAGTTAAAATGTGTAGTAGTGTTATAGGGAGAGATACTAAAAAAAACTTAGGGCAGGACATTGACCCAGGAGAGTGGGGTTTGTGCTCTGTGTAGAACCATCATTTTTACACTTAAATTTCGTTTTTCACTTACTGTTTGGTTCAGTTTAGGCACCACAACTACTTGGCTAGGTTTTGGAAAATATGGTTTAGGTTAAATCATACTCGTTCACAATGTGTTGGAAGCTTCTTCTACATTTTCTGGGTTACCAAGGTTACATGTTCCTCCCATCTAAATTATAATTAGTTGACTGAGACAGTTGGAAAGAAATAAAATAAATGATGAAGGCATGTTGATTTGAAACTAATTCGCGATACGTCACCTATGCAATCTGACATTCAATCCTGGTTTTCTCAGAATGTAATTAAGGAATTGAGCTTAACTGTAGGAATGCCATCTTCTGGAGACCTGAGCAATGCAATTTTTCTGAAAACAAAAACTCAATCTGACTCATAATAAGTTACAATATTACTGTTGATAGGGAGAATTCAATCAATATGTCAGTTATTAGAATAAAGTAGAAAAGAAGTACATTTTTTGTCATTACACTGTACAATGTGCAACATATATGAACAATCATTTCACTGCATTCACACAACCAGACACAAGTGTTTAAAAAAAACACACACACAACAAAAATGCACTGATGTAAAGATTGCATATTTGGTGTATTAGAGCATTATAAAAGCAGCAGTGTAAGTAATGTTACACTCCTGGATATTGCACATTGCTGTATTTTAACAAAAAAGTAATGGTTTACATTTGTACAATTAAACCTTCAAAATTCACTCTTCAGTCAAAATTTATTTAAAATCTGGCTGACAAGTCTTAATAATCATCACATTTCCATCCTAAAGTAGCCAGTCTATCAAAGATTTCTCTTGAAGTAGAAATTGCATGCAGTAATTTAGTCGCACACACCTATAGGGAGCTTTGAGCTTGAAACTGCAGTCTCAAATCACCTGCTCACCTTCTGTTCCTTCCTCACAGACCTGCCCCTGCCACCACCACCACTGTACAGACCGCAGGCCAGCGGAGACGCCTCTACAGCGCCGTCCCAGGACGAGTCTTTGTAGCCACTCGAGCACACTCTGCACAGGGAGAGCGAGAAATCAGCTTCAATAAGGGAGACAGGGTCAAAGGTGGATATATGTGCATTTTCATATCATCATACTTTCCATGCGTAAGTGTGTGTGTATGTGTGCAGAAGCATATACTTCACTTTGTCTTCTATGTAAACCCAAGGTGTCTGTCTGGTTTCAAATCTGTTTGTGACTTTGTATTTCCCCTGGTACTAACATGACTGGATTGTAATAAAAACCACTGAAGCTCTGCTCGCTTATGTTACTTCCAGAGGTATGTGGAAGAGTATTTACTACATGACAGGCGTACACTTGTAAAAATGACACTGAAAGCACATTGAGAGACATATAAAGCAACTTTACAGACACCTTTAAAAGATTTAATGTAACATGAGGTTGCATGTGCCGCAGCCTGTCTCTGTTTGGGGTTTTGGCATGGCCCCAACCAGCTCCATATAATAACTAAGCTGCTGACTGCAGGGGTTTAACAATTTCAGAGGTGAGATTTAATTTACAGCTTTTAAGTTAACACCGTTTAGCTAACTGACAAAGTATTTTGGACACAAAGCCAGATGCTGCATCCCCAGAACATGCAGTTATCCTGGACACAGTCATGGACTAATCAAGGTGTGACTGCGAACATGTTATCGTACAGTACATCTAGCAGACACACAGCAGCATAAGCATTTGATTAAAGTTATATGTCTAGCCATGAGATTAATTCACAGCTTTTCTGTGTTTGTTTACTGCCTCCAATATGTATGGAGTGATGTTGTGTGAGATCTAGCCACTGTGCTATGTAAAGGCCAAAAAAACCAAGGCTATAAAGGAGCTAAAGTGGCTAAAAATCTCTGTGAATCTTCAGCGTTGGTAGCAAACCTCTGATATTCACTCAAGCCTGGAGACTACAGATGGGTTGACTGCGAGAGGCATGCATTGTGGCTGTTCAGAATCCCTTGATGACTTTAGGAACACTAAGAAGACGAGAAAAAAAAAGAGGTTCACCACAGCTAGTAGGCTTCATCTGCTAGAGACCATGAATGATTAAACACAATTTCATAGTCATCCAACCTAATGTTGTTGGGATATTTAAGTCAGAATCAGACTGGTAGACCGTCTGACAGAAGATGCTAACACCAGGTTTATAGGCAGCACATCAGCACCCAGGCCAGATCCAAGTCGTGTCTTCAGATGAGTTTGTAAAATGGTTGTGTCCTAACATGAGTGTAAGGTCTCTATATATGTTTGTATTTAATGTCTGCAGGTGTGAATATGTGTGTGTTTGTGAGTGAGTCTAAGGTGTCACCAGGTATGTATGTCTTGGTGAGTATGTAAGAGGTTTGCATGTCCGTGTGCGTGTCCACATTCTTTTTTTTTTTCCGTCTGTATAACGTTGTTGTCTTTTTGTGTGTGTTCATTTCTCATTGATTTTCTGCGTGTGTGTATGTGTGTGGTTTGGTGCATGTTGTGTCGCCTTTTCTTGACAAGCTGCTCTTTCCTGCTCCCACCTCTAGTGCTGAGTGTTGGCGAAGGCGGGTACTGGGAGGGGACGGTCAGGGGTCGCACAGGTTGGTTCCCCTCTGACTGTGTGGAGGAAGTGATGCTTCGAAGCCAAGACAACCGATCAGGTGATCACCGCCGGTCGCACACAGACACACACTGCGGGCTCATCCTGAAAAGCATTTCTTTTGGCAGGGAATTTCACATTTATCCTCCACTTGACCATTCATCTAGTTTAGTGTCTTGTAAAAGCCTGACAATGAGTTAACTGCTAGTTTTGAGTTCATGTGACTATAAAGATTTGGAGTACAAAAGACATCTATGGTCTGCTGTTGAATTTTGTAGGAGGTTGGTGCGAATTTAACCTGATCAGGTCTGCAACTAAGAGTGTTATTGTAGTTACTGATCAACATATGAATTGTTTGGATTAACAGGTTTTTTTTTTCCATTAAAATATTTTAAAATAATTAAACAAGACTTAGAGTCTGCAATCATGCTATAGCTGCTTAGTGAAGCTGTATCGAGGTGCTTTGAGCTAAATGCTAACACCGCGTGCTCACAGTAACAATGATGATTTTACATGCTGATGTGTAGCATAAATAATAGTCACCACTTTAGTTTGCTATGTTAGCATGCTAATATTTACTGATTATCACCATGCCCTGCCTATTGACAAGATGTTAACAGCTCTAGTTCTCTAGCGCTAAAACAAGACCAATCATAACTTTTCTGGCCTCAAGTGACATCTTTCATTTGTCCAAATAATCCGAAACCCCCAAACAGTTTGGATTTTTTTAAAAGTAACCCATGCTCCCCCATTTTTGAGCACAAGTGGCATATCCAAACTTAAATGGCTGTAGATTGTCAGGAATGTGGTTGAAAAGTTTAGGATTTTTGCTCTCCCCTAAAATGCAGAATTCTTTTCAGTATTAATAATTTTTATACTTTTATTTACCATTTGTAATCCTGTAATTGCCACTGAAACACTACAAGATCTGACTTAAAGCAGTCATCTCTGCATCGACCATTGAATGTTTCGACTACTGTCGTACAAAGTACATGGGAAACAAAAGAACCTTAAAGCTTTTTTGACGAATAAGATTACTTTCTGAATCTTGCAAATATGTTAATGTTTACTGACATAGTGTGCAGACTCAGGAAAGGGGAAGGGACCGCAGACACTGGTATTGCTCACAAGATAAAACTTTAATGCTCGACATTTTTTGAGAATTAAAATTTCCTGTGGTTTGTATGAGTGTATGGTGATGATTTAACTGTTTTTTTGTTGCTTTAACCAGCACACGCAGCTACTGCATTAGCCATAGTGGTTCCTGCCTGATGTGTAAAGCGAGCTATTGAGCTCATGTGCGGTCCTCAACCAACAGAGAGTTAGAGGTCCGACTCATACACACCTGTTGATGCACGCGGGAAGAATTATTTATCACAATCATGATTTTAGCTTCTAACCACTATAAAATAGTTTTTATGTCAATAATATATATAATAAAGTCATAGCTTTAGTTTTAGCTTATAGGTGACCTGAAAAATAAGCTGCTTGTAGAATAGAGATGCTCCAGTAATAGATTATTACAGTGATAGCAGTAATGTAATCGAACATTAAGTCCTGCAAGAAAAGTCAACGTAGGCCTAACTGTGCTGAAGTCCCTGTGATGTTGTGTTTCAGAGAGCCGTGGAGAACGAGCCAAGCGGCTGTTCCGCCATTACACTGTGGGATCCTACGACAGCTTTGACGCTCCCAGGTAAGAGCTTTCCATTAACTGCGACTAAACAGTAAACTGAGCAACTGCCTGTTTTATCCAAAGATGCAGTGATGTGCACAGATTCGACAAACACTGTGGGCATAAACAAACTCTATACCACTGTCCATTTACAGGACTGGTGGTAGGGTTTTTTTGTTTTTATTCATTTATGTATTGAAACTAAATACAAAAGAAGTTTGGGGCACTTGGATTAACAAAAGAGGCATTTACATGCTGCAGCTGCCAGAAAGCATCCGATCCTGGTTAAATGAAGGTTTAACCATGACTGTTTCCTATTGTTGTCCTCTGAGCAGCTGAGCAGCTCTGCTCAGGAAATGAGGGGTTAAGTACTTTACTAAAGAGCATGATGTGACTCGTGCATCCTCCCAGTGGGTTCTGGAACTCAAACTGACAGCCTTTTCATTATGAGCCCGCTGCTTCACTGTTTAAACTTACAGCACATCCTGGCAGGGGATTTGTTTGTATGGTGACATACTGTATACATCTACCCAGATAAGATGATTCATAAGTTCCAGTGATACTTTGCATGATGTAATGTGTTGTGAGTGATTCATGCAGTAGGATGACGATGTGCGAGGGTTCGCTGCCTCCGGTCTAGAAACTGATCCGCCTGCTTTTATACTGGAGTCATCCTCATTGCCAGAGGTTTACCAGTTGTGTTTTGACTAGTTGGTTTTGCTGAATTCAACCTGGGCAGACAGGCAGATTTTTTTTTTTCATATCAGGATTTTAGAGCAAGTTTCTTCCTTTTGAACGTCTGCATTTTGGCTCCAAGGTGCAGAGCTGCTTTGCTAGATTGCAGTTTTTAGGGTGGGCTGAACTTCTTGGTGCGTTCAGACCACTTTGATGACTAAGCCTGAAATTTCTTTGTGTTGACCACTGTTATGAAATCACCAGATGATCATTCCTGCCCTCAGTGACCACGCAGTCTGAGGTGTTGCATATGTATTACTGTGCCATGGGACCAGCCACGAATACAGCAGCTGAGATCTTTAACTTTTAACAGAAGGTTATTAGGCTTTTATGCGGTAATACAGCTACCATCCACCCACTGCGACTTAATCAGCATCCAGTCTTACACAGCTATTCAATCTTAAAGGGCAACTTCACAGATTTTAAACAGGCGTTTTATCATTATAAAATGAAAGCATACAGCATGCATGTTAAGTATGTTTTCTTCCTTCCTTTGCACCTACACTGAGAGTGACACGCCCTTCAATATTCTGTTTTCTCTGGTCATAGTCCACCATTAAAACAAAAACAACACAAACAAACAAAAAAACTTTCCTCATAGTTTCTGTTGGTAAAATTTCTAACATTTTATTGATGACAACCGAGTTAAGCAAATATGGGAAGGAAAATGTTCATATTCGGCTGTTCTTTGGAGAGAAAACACTGCATTGACACTGTATTGACTTTGTTTGTGTGACTTCTCATCATTAACTCAGCCTAATATAATGTAATTCCCTTTAATGTCTTGCATCTGCATCATGGTGAGTCGCTTTGAGGCAAACTCATTTCAGTGTCCAGGACCTGGACTGAGCAAAGAGAGAATTATTTACATAGAAATAAAGCCATTACCAATCACATGTATTATTTACACCAAATCATGCCTTCTTCCTCTCCCTCTCGCTCTCCCTCTTTTATCATTCCTTCACTCATCATAATTCCTTAACTTGTACCTGCTTTTTTTCTTTATAATTTCTCCTCTAACTGCGCTTCGCTCGCACAGACTTACCCACACTATCATTTATTATTAACACGCTTTTCATCAACAGTGACATTTCATGCAAGCGACACGCTCAGCCATGCAAACTCACACACATATGTTTGTACGCACACGCTAGCACACACATCATAGATAATTAAAGCTGTGTTGCAGCATAGACGGAGCCCGAGACTGTTTGTTTGGCCAGGCAGGAAGGCAGGCATGGCTGACTCAGAACCGCCCTCACATGGGCCTACTTTCACAGCCTTTATCACTACATGTAATATCTCACCTATTCCTCTTTTCATCCCTCTATATTTGGCCACATCTCCTGACCATCTCTGCATCCCTCCCTCGCTTTCTATTCATCACTGTATTGCTAACCCCCCTGTACTTTTTAATTTTCTTTCTATCACCCTGTCCTCCCTGTGGTGTCTCCATCTGGAGGTCAGACAGTGAAGGGCACTCAAAGGGGAGAGGGGGATTGGAAAGAGGCATGAAGAGCTTGGAAGGAGGAAGAAAGGCATCCCGTGCTTACAAATGGGTGGAAAGGGACATCAATGGTTTCATGTGCATGCAACAGGAGGTCTAGTAGGGCAGAAAAAATCTGAAAGAACGCGGCCCTCTTCTTTGTTTTCACTTTGTTCATCCTGATCAAAGTTAGACTTCTATAAATGTTTTAGTCTAGTTATGATCCTGTTCTTTACCTATTTGCTAAAAATCCCATCAGACAGTTTGTCCATAGTGACATGACTGATTGGGTGATATGAACTGATATTTTAATTAGAGTGTGTCCAGTGTTTCTTCTAGGATTGTGTTTTTCTAAGAGAAGCTCCTGAAAAACAAAGTTGTCTGTTGAAAGAACGCATTTTTTAGAGGGATCAGTTAAACTATACTCTGAGGACTGCTTGCAGCCAACCTCTCTCTCACAGATAGATTTCATAGATACATTTTTAAAGTTCCAATAAAAAGCAACAGATGTTTTATGCTGTGTAGCATATGACAGTTTATATGTCTGTTTTTGACAAAATTATGGTTGTAGCAGAAACTGATTTTCTTTCATAAACAGCCACTAACAACCAGAAGAAACTGTTTTTTAGGTAGTACATTTTAAACTGCAGCTTCTGTTTAGTTTAAGTTGACCAAAGCACGACTCTGACACAAAAAAAAAAGCAGGTCATGCCAGACGACAAAAGAAAAAAAGAAAAGAAAATCTAAGCACATTAAATCAAGCCAGTGACGCCTTTTATTGCCAAAGAGTTTACTTTCCTTTTGCAAGAGAAACAAAGTTTTTTTTTTTTTCTTTTCAAAAGTTTCCCACTTAAGGTTGGTTTTGTCGTATAGCCTGGAATATATAAAGCTGACTGTGATTGGAATGGAAGTGTTTGGAAAAGACTTAAGGGTTGATATTCAGTGTTTTTATAAATGTCCCACAATATCAACATTTGGCTCATCTCTAATGAACAGAGTTGTCCTCTTTGCTGCACATTCATCCTCACCTCTTGTCCGTCCCACTGCCTGTTCCTAAAAGCTGTATATATTTTGTCAATTGACGGTTACTGCACGGGACGAGCTGCGATATTATAACAAAGCGTGATAAGGGAAACCCAGCAGTCTGCAAGATGAACTGCTTTAACTTGATAATGTGATGTGGCGATTACATTAACAAGAGCAAAAGGACTAGGGGATACGACGGCTTAGAAGCCATCAGTGACAAATGATAAACAAATGAAGAATTATTATGTACACTTGCCATGCCCCTTCACCTCAGATGTCTTTTTAATCACGCCGCCTGTTTGTCCTCGCTCTACTTCCATCATTCATCCCTTTTGCTTCTCCTCCTCCACCCATATTAGCCTTTTCCCCTTTGAATGGCTGTACTAATATTCCACACTTTTTCTGTTTTCCTTATGTTCTAAAGATGCTATGTGTGCAAATTCAGGTTTGTCAGTCTGTGCAAAATTAGAAATGATTGAATATTTGGATGATATGAAACCTCATCATGTCTGTTTTGTAGTCCATCCATCCATTATCTATACACCACTTAATCCACACGAGGGTCATGGGGGGGCTGGAGCCTATCCCAGCTGACTTAGGACAAAGGCAGGGGACACCCTGGACAGGTCACCAGTCTATCACAGGGCTACACAGAGAGACAAACAAGCACACTCACATTCACACCTATGGACAATTAAGAATCACCAATTGAAGCCAGAGAACCCGGAGAAAACCCAAACTGCACAGGGAGAACATACAAACTCCACACAGAAAGACCCCGAACTGGGGATCTTCTAGCTGTGAGGCGATGGTGCTAACAACCAAGCCACCTTGCAGCCCCTGTTCTGTAGTAAGAAATGTGAATTTACAGTCAATACAGCTTTTAGTCATTGCAATTTAGATGTGATGTTTCATAAAACTCCAACAGCCAATTGTGAAAGAAGGCCATCATACATTGCATACAGTGGACAGAGAGAGCTCAACACACTGCGGCTGAAGAAAACACATGTAAATAGACCAGACCTTGTCACCTCTGTGACCACATTTACAAAGTATTTAGGAAAACTCAGCTCAGTGCAATGAAACACAAGCACTGATAAACACATTCTCCAACTTTACAGCACATTAGCAGCACAAAGAAACCTGCTGAAAATATAGGAAACTCAGAATTGCGCAAAAAAAATGACTGTGGTTCTTCTAAAAAGTGATGAACACACTGACCACATGACGGTAATGTTCAAAGCAAGAGTTTAGGATGTTAAAATTATTTTTATGTTTTTTTGCTGTAGAACTAGCAACATAAACTGATCATAGTCACTGGTAACTACTTTAAACTGCTGTATAAATGTGTTCAGTTGGTAAATACGACTGGCAGTGTTTCTCTGCTTATGTGACATGTCGTATTGTCAACATGTTTTTATGCTGCTTAAGTATAACTAGAGCAGTAAATATGTACGCAGCAGTTTTTTGTGTGACGTATGTGATGTCAAAGTGGTGGAAATGTTTTTGCAGTTGGTTGTTGTTGTTTGTGTCTTCTTACACTGCAGTGCTCTGAGCTCTCCCAGTCTACCCATACATCTAAAAGAGGTTCACTGGTGTAAGACCTTACTTCATGCAGACTGTATCGGAGTCTTATAAACATATAGCAACTTACACTCTCTCATACCCTTGCTCTAACTGCATGTACAGTAAAATGTACGAGGGGTGATCAAAAAGTTCCAAGATTATGCCTATAAACATTTCAAACTGCTTCTGAATTATATTTGCCTGCCAT